TGAAAGGCTGGAGGGGGCTGGAGGAGGCAGGGCCCCTGAAACCTCCTGTCCAACTAGCGACTTAGGGGCTTCCAGCAATAATTCTGGACGTTGGAGCCCCTCCCCCACTTTACTACACATGCCCACGCACAGTGCCCCCAACACACACCCCAACTCACACATGGCCCTCACCCCCTCTTAGTCCTGGAACACATGCCAGCCCCCCTCCTTGGACCACGGCGATCCGGCCCAGCCAGTGGGTGCGGCCAGTTTGGGAAGGCCATCGGGGGCGTTGTGTCCTTGCAGGGATATATTCTCCCAGGGCTTCGGGCCTTTCCGCTGGGTGTGCACATCCGGGGACCCTCAGGACCTGGCGGTCACCGATCAGCTGGCCACATCTGTGCTGGAGAAGGTCATTGCTGGCGGAGGTAAGGCTGTCAGGTTGGAGATGCCGGAGGGTCCGCCTGGCAGTGCCGGGCAGCCCCCCCCCCCCCCCCCCCCAGTCCCCTCTCCTCATTCCCTTCCAGGCCCTTGTGGGCAGGGGCACAAGGCTTCCAGTCCATGCCTGTCAGCAGTGCTTCTGGTTCCTTGTAGCTGCCGGTGCCCCTCTGAGCCTTTGGCCTTCCACATCCACAGGCCCCTGCTCATGTCATGGCAGGGCCTCCGGGGGATCTGTGGCTTTTCTAACCCTGAGCCTTGGTTCTCCTTTTCACCTGGATGGGGAGGTTGTTCAACCACAGTCCCTTCTTGTGTAGCTGATTGGACCTGCCGTTTGTCACCTGGGGAAGAGAAGGCAGTTATGTTGTCAAACATACTCATCTGTCAGAGCTCCTGCCCTCATTTCTCTGCAGCTTTTCTAAGGTCCAGGGGTGGCCTTCTCTCCAGTGGTTTCCTTTGGGGTTCAGTTCAGCCTTTGTGGCTGGTTTTAAATCTCCAGGGACCATTTTCACCCTGCTGTCCACATCTGAGTTCATGGGGATGGAGGGGATCTGGGATACAAGGATCCGGGGTGAGGGTGGGTGGGGCCACCTATGTGGGAGGAGCTAGGCAGGGGGAGGTCTACTGAGGTAGGAAGAGGAAGTGGGGGGGCCTTCTCTTGGGAATCTTGTCAGAGGCCTCCTCATAGGTGGGTGTTCAACAACTAGCCCTTCAGGAGGAAGCTGTGCTCTTGCATCTGTTGATGGCCAAGGTCTAATTACTCTCAGGTGGCTTATTTTAAGTGGGGCTTCACTTGGAACAGTAGCAGTATTTCCACCAGGCAGGTAACCTTGAGAACATAGATCCTCCTAAAAGGTAGTAAATTAAGAAATGGTGACTTATGAACATTATCTTAATTTTTAACCAAATAGATTTTTTATTGATTTCAGGGAGGAAGGGAGAGGGAGAGAAACATCAATGATGAGAGAGAATCATTGATCGGCTGCCCCCTGCACACCCCCGACTGGGATCAAGCCTGCAACCCAAGCATGTGTCGTGACCTCCTGGTTCATAGGTTGAAGCTCAGCCACTGAGCCATGCAGGCTGGGCCATTATCTTAATTTTTAATACATTTTTACAAAGTGTAAGTTTATTTCATTGAAATTTAACGATGTCTGTGTTTCCACTGGCTCACAGAATTCCTGCAGATTTAGCAGCCTGCTTTTAGGAGCTGGGAGGAGCAGCTCCTGGGCTCCCTGGCTGCTGCCCCCCTCTGCACGCCCTTCATACTTAGCCGCTGGCCTGTCCTACTTGGATAAGCAAGCTTCCTCTCACCTCAGGGCCTTTGCACTTGCTATTCCCTCTGCCTAGAATGCTGCTTCCTCAGATCTCTATGTCGCTGGTTCCTCCTTAGCATTTAGGATGGAGCTCGACTATCTCCTCCGGACTCACCCACCTAGTGACGACCTCATCACACTCTTATTTTCTCTCAGTCCGCAGCAGTTTTGGTTCCCAGTGCCTGGTCTGGCACTCAATAGATGTTTGTTGAAGGAATGAATATATCGGACAGTGGGCTGCACACTTCAGTGCATTAATTCACAGGACTATTTACTGCTGGTTCTGAGAATCAGATGGCCTAGTGTGGTGTGGTGCTGCGGGGAGGGGGCGGGGGCGGATGGAGAGTCCCCCTGACCCTGTGTCGGGGCTCCCGTGCTGGGTGAAGAATAAGTGCCTGTGCTGAGCAGCCTGCGACCACAGGGGGGCCCGGGGCTCCCGGTGCCTGAGACACGCCTCCCCTCCTCTCCCTGCAGTGAACCCTGCTGTGAAGCTGCAGTATATGGACAACATTCGCTGGATTCGGGAGGCTGCCAAGCACCGGCTGGTGAGGGCTTGGCCTGGTGGGGGGCAGGGGTGGGCCATGGGACTGCCCACCTGGCCAGTAGATGAGCGAGCTGAGAGGGTGCCAACATACCCGGGAGACTGCTTAGGTAGCAGACCCACTAGAGCCAGCAGCTACCTCACCCAGGGGGCTGCTGGGCAGAGAAGCCAGGGACCTTTCCAAAGGTGGCCTGGGACAGTGACCAGGGCCGGTCAAGTAGCCCTTCACCCAGTCACTCAAATAGTTCTCTTGAGAGGTGGCCGCTGGGTCCCGAGAGGCAGGCCCCTGGTTTCTCAGCTGTGTGAATGGGCGAGTGGCTCCGCCTCCCTGAGCCTCCTGTCTCCTCTGTACAGAGGAGCACCCCTGGCTGTGGTGGGGTGCTTAGGGCGGGCTCTCAGTGGCAACTCATGGGGCCCTGACAGGTGAGGCACTGATAGGGCCAGGGTTGCCCGGGCCTCATTTCCGTGTCTGTGATTATGCTCAGGGGAGTGTGAAAACGAATGTGACGCAGGTGGGGACTGCTCCACAATGATGGATCAGAAAGGTATCTCTGAGGAGCTGACTTGTGAGTTCAGGTCACTGAGGGGCCTCCTTTCACCTTTCTCTCTGCAGGTGGTGGGCTCCCAGGCAAGGATCCTGTACTCAGACCAAAAAGGCCGTGTGGCCATAGCTGTGGCCTTTAACCAAGCCATCGCCCATGGGAAGATCAAGGTGACATTTCCTGTGCTGCTGGGGCCGGGGGAGGGTCTCCCCTTGGCTCTTTCCTGTCAGTGCCAGCACTGCCCCCTGCTCTGTGTGTGTGTCAGCTGAGGGTCAGATAGCTGAGGGCAGGGAGTGATCATCTGTCCTCACACCCAGGCTCTGACACTGGTCCCTGTGTGACTGTGGGCAAGTCAAGTGCCCTCTCTGAGCCTCAGTTTCCCTCCTGTTAAAGGAGAACCATATTAACCTCCAAGCGTGGGAGTAAGGATGAAATGAGTTGGCTTCCACATGAGTATTAGATATATCTTTGTCGACTTTATCTTTTTCAAACCATGACAAACTTCCTATTTTCCTCTGAATCAGCCGGACTCACCTTGGAGGAAATGGAGCCCTGGGCACACTGTTCAGAGGGACCTCTGGCCCCTCCGTTTGTAGGCGCACGTGACAGACCTCTGTTTATAAACGAAGCACCAGGAATATTAATGAGCAGACCTGAAGAGGAGGTTGAAATGGATGAAAGTGAAGGCTGTCCCTGTGGGTGGTTCTGGGGGGCACTGGCAGCAGGGCAGCAGCCTTGGCCTTTCTCAGGAGCACCCCCAGAACACACTACTGTTGCATGCTTCCTGGAAGCCCAGGGTGCTCACGAGGAAGGCTGGGCATAGCTCACCAAACTTCCCGCAGGGCACACTCAACCCAGCGGGGGTCAGAGGTCAGCACTGAGAGCTGGGTTTTTCCTTCCTTCCTGCCTTCCTTCCTTCCTTCCTTCCTTCCTTCCTTCCTTCCTTCCTTCTGAGAGCTGGGTGTTCCTTCCCTCCCTCCCTCCCTCCCTCCCTCCCTTCCTTCCTTCCTCCCTTCCTTCCATCTGTCAATTGATTGACAGCTTCCTCTGTGCCAGGCTTATTCTAAGCACTGCGGGGTCGGGCGGGGGGGGGGCGATGTGGCAAAGAACAAGATAAACAGGGTCCCCACCTTGATCTACTTACTAGTGAAGAGAAACTAACAATATGCAACTAAAGGTATAAATTCAGGGAGAATTTTAGATGGTGACAAACAGTATGAAGAAAATGAGTTGAGGTGACAAGGTGGGGTTATGGGGTGGGGATGAGCGGTGTCTTTAGATGTGGTGGTCAAGACAGGCCTTTATGAGTTGCTGGCATAGAACTGAGGCCTGAGTATCAAGAAGATGCCAGAATACCTGGGGGCAGGTGATGCCAGGACAAAGGTGGAGAGATGGAAGGACACTGGGCCTGTTCAAGGGAAGGAGAGGAGGGCCTCTTGATTCAGAGCAGTGGGGAGTTACCCTCTTGGCAGGCTACCTCCTCCTACATGGGGAGCCTGTGAACTTCCGTGTCCCCTGGGAGGGCTGGGAAAGCCGACCTCCAGTGGTGCCACACGCTCAGGGGCCAGGCTGCCTGAAGAGAGAGCCCAGACTCTAGTATACTGTATGTGGGTTTAAATCCCAGCCTGTCCACTTACCAGCTCTGTGATGTTGGGAAAGTTTCTTATCCTCTCTGGGCCTCAGTTTTCCTTTCTACAAAATGGGCATGATAACAGCTCTGCCTACCTGGATAGGGTTATTGAGAAAACTCGGTGACATTAAATGGGGGCTTCTAAGAACATAGTAAGTGTCAAAATAAGCAGAATCTATTAGTAGCTACCCAAGGACATAAACATCTGTGGTTCCTCTTGCTAACGGTCTGTTTTCCAGGGGGCGGTATCTGAAGGGCTTCTGGTATGGCCTGATCCAACTTTGCCCTCCACTGGGCAGCTGTGGTGGACACTGTTGGCTGACATTGCATATCTGCACACTGCAGGCCCCGGTGGTCCTGAGCCGAGACCACCATGATGTGAGCGGCACAGACAGTCCCTTTAGGGAGACCTCCAACATCTATGACGGCTCTGCCTTCTGTGCAGGTGAGGAAGATAAAATGTCCAAAAGAATTTTTTTAATGTTGGATTTGATTTAAAAATCGATTGATTCATTTAGTTTGTCATAATGTTACAAAAAATGTGCTGGCATTTGAGAGGCGGGACATAGAGTGACCAACCTTGGACAATGGGTGTTCTGGGACATGGGACCTCAGCTTCTTAAATTGGGCCAGTGCTAGGCAAATTGGGACCGTTGGATGCCCTAGACTTGGGTGTGCTTCTGGCCCCATCACTTGCTGGGTGATCTTCAGCAAGGTACTTAAAGTCTCAACCTTAATGTCCTCATCTGTAAAATGGAAATAACAGTAGTAGCTACCTCAGAGGGCTGCTGTGAAAAATAAGCTGAATGACTACACATCCAGCATCACATTAGGGCCCAGAGCCAGTGTTCAGGGAAGGTGGGCTGCTGATGAGTTCTGTTCCTTGGGTGGCTTGCTCATTCCCAGCTACTGGGGGGTGGGGTGGGGGGTCCTTCTATTATGGATAGGATCCCAAGGGAAGGAGGTAGACTCTCAGGAACACTATTCTTTTTACAAGGAATTGGTCCATTTCATCAAAGTTATCAAATTTATGGATCTAGAGTTGTATTCCTTTATTATCTTTTTAATGTCTATGTGGTCAGTTGTGATATCCTTTCTGTCAATCCTGATATTGGTCATTTGTGTCTTTCTTTTTTATTGGTCAGTTTGGCTAGAAGTTTATCAATTTTATTGGTATTCTCAAAGATGATTTTAGTTCATTTGATTTTCTTTCAATTGCTTCTCTGCTTCCAAATGAATTGATTTCTGCTCTAATCTTTAGTATGTCCATCCTCCTCCTTGCTTTGAGTTTAATTTTCTCTTCTTTCTGCAAGGGAGAAGCTGAGGTTACTCATTTGAGACCTTTTTCTTTTCTAGTATAAGTATTTAATGCTATAAATTTCTCTCAACACTGCTTTAGCTATATCCTACATATTCTTGTATGATGTATTTTTATTTTCACCTAGTTCAAAATATTTTTAAGTTTTTTTTGAGACTTCTTCTTTGATCCATGGGTTATTTAAAAGATTTTTAATTTTCAGTTTTGGGGGGGATTTTTCCGATATCTTTTTGCTACTAACTTCTGGTTTAATTCCATTATGGTATGAGAACTTACTGTGTATTATTTCTTTTTAATTTGTTAAGGATTTCATGGTCCAGAATGTGGTCTATGTTAGAGCACTTGAAAATGTGTATTTTGCTGTTATTTGGTGAATTTTTCTTAAAATGTCAAGTAGGTCACATTGGTTAATAATGCTGTTCAGTTCGCCTATCTTAACTGATTCTGCCTATTCTATAAATTACCGAGGGAGGAGTGGTGACATTTCCAAATCTATTTGTGAATTTGTTTATTTCTTCTTTCAGTTCATTTTTTTAAAAAATTTAGATTGTGTTGATAGAGGTACTTTTCCCCTTGAATCCTCACCTGAGGACATGCTTAGAGCGAGGAAGAGCTGCCCTCTGCATGCTCCCTGATTGGGAATCGAACCTGTGGGTTGCGAACAATGAAAATACATCCTGCATATCAGATATTTACATTACAATTCATAACAGTAGCAAAACTATAGTTATGAAGTAGCAACGAAAATAATTTTATGGTTGGGGTTCACCACAACATGAGGAACTGTATTAAAGGATCGCGGCATTAGGAAGGTTGAGAACCACTGCTAGTGTAAGGACAATGCCTAACCAACTGAGCCATTCCAGCCCGGCTTGCCTTGTATTGCAGCTATGCTGGTAGTACACATTCATTTAGGTTTATTATATCTTTTTTGAGAGTTGACCTCTTTATCATTATATAATATTCCTGGTTCTGAAATTAATTCTCTGATATTAATATCCTATATAATAAAAGGGTAATATGCAAATTGACTCTAAAGGCGGAACTACCAGGAACAACCGGTCACTATGATGTGCACTTGACAACCAGGGGGCAGACGCTCAACACAGTGCGCTCCCACAGGGGGAGTGCCGTTCAGCCAGAAGCCAGGTTCACGGCTGTGAGCACAGCAGCAGAGGTGGCAGGAGCCTCTCCCGCCTCCTTGGCAGCAATAAGGATGTCCAACTGTGGCTTAGGCCTGATTCCCTGGGAGCAGGCCTAAGCTGTCAGGTGGACAACCCCCGAGGGCTGCCAGACTGTGAGAGGGTGCAGGCCGGGCTAAAGAGACCCGTCCCGCCCGCACAAATGTTGTGCACCAGGCCTCTAGTAGTTTATATTTGTATCCTGTGGCCATTGTAATAAACCACCACAAACTTAGTGGCTTAAAACAACACAAACGTATTCTCCCACAGTTCTGAAGCCAGAAGCCTGAAGTCAGTTTCAATAGGCCAAAGTCAAGGTGTTGGCCAGGCCATGACATCTTAGGAGGCTGTAGGGGAGAATCTTTCCTGGCCTTCTCCAGTGTCTACAGCTGCATTTCTTGGATTTCTTAGCTCATGGCACTTCCCAATCTTCACTGAGCAGCACTAAGAAAAAGCATGCTCAGGATTCTCCCTGGTCTTCTCTGTGAGCACCTGGTGGAGTTTTTGGAATAAGAGCTTGTCAAAGGGTTCAAGCCCCCGTATATCCATGTCCCATGGACCTCACAGTCCCAGGGCTCATGCTTGTCCTTTATCAGTTTAGGTAGTTGTAAGGTGACCAGGTTGGGTTCAGTTTTTCTGTGCAAATGCCTATCTCTCTCCAGATTTCAAATTAGTTGCCCTAGGACATCAGTTCCCTGGTGGAGTCGAGAACAGTCATTAATTTGTGATCCTCCCTCCCTATTCTTTGGTTTGTTTTAAGGGTGGGAGTGACGTTCTTTGGCTTTCTACATCTCTAAACTAAAACCACTACCACCTCCCTGTTAATTCTGTTTTCTTTCTGCTTCTGGGCACTTTATCTGGCATTCAGTGCTAGTGAGCATAATTATTATAGGGACGGGTACCAGTGGGAATTTGTCCATTTCTCCTGCCTTGGCTTAGCTTTGCACACATAAATTGTTACTGTTTCTAGGGTCATCTGTGCCTAGTTCCCCATCTGTCCTCCAGGCCTGAGTGGTATTGGCTCAGCCAGTGGGGTCTGTAGATGCCCACTTGTATACTGGCCAGAGCCTGGCCTGGACCCGGCCAACCTCCTTCAGGGAATAACGGTGGTGGCTTTGTTTCCACAGACATGGCCGTGCAGAACTTCGTGGGCGATGCCTTTCGAGGAGCCACCTGGGTCGCTCTTCACAACGGTGGGGGCGTGGGCTGGTAAGAACGTTTTGGAGAACAGGTGGTGGGGGTGCAGGCTCCCTGGAAGGCACAGGGATTTCTTTGAGGGTCCTGGGCCCTGCCTCTCCCAAGCTCCCTCTGCTGAAGGCTTTACTGTGATGTTTTCCTCCAGTGAGCTGGATGTTGGAGGGACAGAACATTGGGGGTGAAGTGTGGGGGAGTGTCTGGCACAAACCACTCCTCCTTTGGGGTCTCACCTGCCACACAACACAGGAAGGCTGTAAGAACCATGACTGCCCCTTTGATGCCAGTTTTCACTTGGCGTTCACAAATATATTTCCTCAGGAATTCTCACAGTGCTGTCTTTTTAGTCCACCTCGGATTCCCAGGCGACAGGCAGGGAGGTGGGAGGCCTGGGTTCCCTGTTCTCCTGGGTCCCTGGCTCAGGACTCTGCCCTGGCCAGTACTGTTTCCAGTCTTCACTGGTAGGAAATGGGGGTTTCTGGGAGGATCTCAATCTGGCTGACAGTTACAGCTCCGTCATGAAGATGTTCACTACAATTCTACTACCAACATGTACAGGTTTTCTCACTCCACTCAGCAGTCTTCTCCAACACCTACAATTCAACTCAATTCTGACACTGTCTACCTGGAGAAAGCCTTAGATCCTATAGGTTAGGGGCCCAGTCCCACAAGACTGTTCTCACCTCACTTCAAATCGCAAGCCCAGGTTGTTGCCTACTTCTGACTGAACTGCTACCGATTGGAGGTTCCTACAACCCCCTCCTTGAGTTTATTAATTTGCTAGAGTGGCTCACAGAACTCAGGAAGCCCCTTTACTCACTAGATTACCGATTTATTACAAGAGATTTAAGGATACAAATCAACAGTCAGGTGAAAAGATATGTAGGATGAGGTCCCAACAAAGAAATTTCTGTCTTTATGGAGTTTGGGGCCCCACACAGTGGTGTGTGGCAGCATTCTGACCCCCCAGCCTGAAGCTATCCGAACCCCATCCTTTTTGTTTTTTACGGAGGCTTCATTACATAGGCATGATTGATGAAATCACTAACCATTGCTGATCAATTCAACTTTCAGCTCCATTTTCCCTGGAGGTCTGGGGGTGGGACTGCAAGTTCCAACCCTCTCGTCCTGGTTGGTTCCCCTGGCAACCAACCCCTATCAGTAGGTGGGGTGGGGGTGGGGGCGGGGACAAGTCACCTCATTAACATAAAGACATCTTTATTGTTCTCAACACTTAGGTATTCCAAAGGTTTCAGTTCTGTGCCAGAAATGGGATAAAGACCATAGATACAGGGCGTCCCAAAAATTATATACACACTTTGACAGCTGATAGCTCACTTTTGAAAATGAAATGTATTTTAATAAATACTGTGTATGTATTTCAAAGTGTATGTATACATTTTTGGGGACACCCTATATATTTCTTACTCTAAGTCATAATATCACATCTGCTGCGAAGAATAATGAATAACTAACATTTATTGCACATGGGCCCCATGGCAAGCATTTTGTAGGCTCTTCAAATCGATTCTTTCGCCTAATCTTAGAAGGAAAATACATTTTACAGATGAGGAAACGGAGGCACCAGAGGCTAAGCTGCACCTGCACAGGGTCTGTCTCTGCGGGGTCACCTGGGGACGCGCCCAGACAAGAGCAGCAGGGGTGCTGCGGCTCCAGAGAGGAGGACAGCTTCCTGGGCCTGGCCACCTCTGAACTGACCTCTGAGCCCGTTCCCGTTCTGGCCGGATCAAGCTTGGCCTTGCCCTCCAGAGCCAAGTCTTTGAGCACTTCTGCTTCCCAGGGCATTCCGATGGGCCGGCTTGGCTGAAATTTCCAGCTGCAGCTCAGTCAGGTGGCTCTAGTTAATGGAGAATGTAACCGGAATGCATGTCCTTTTGGATACAAAGGCTAGAGAAAACAGGGACGAGAAGAGTGCCTGGTACCGGATACCTGGCTGGTTGTCGCTGGATTTAATGAGAGGGTTCTCGAGTCGAAGAGTGACTTTGAAGGCGAGTAACTTGCCCAAGGCCACAGAGTTGGTGGGAGAGCTGGAATCTGGACTCGGATCTGTTGCCTCCCAGATCCACCAATTCATCGTTGCCAATGGGACAACAGAGGGCAAGAAGGGACAGAGCAAAGCAGCTGAGAGTCAACAACACGAGGGCCTCTGAGCAGGGGACAGCAGGGCCAGAATTCAGGCAGGACACTGCTTGCTCTAACCCACGGCACTAGGGCTCTCAGGACAGCGGGTGTAAATTCCCACGGTGCTCCCAACCCCTGGGCTGCCCCCAGCTCTGCATTCTGGCTGTTCTTGAGGGCTCTTTTGGGAACACCTCCAATTCATGTTGGAATTCATTAGACTCACTCATACGTAAGTACATAATTTAATGCATCAGATACTCCTGCAAAGCTTGCTGCAAATATTAGCAGGAAAAAAATCTGTCCCATGACCATTCCTATTCCAAGAGGAAATCACATCCAACTCTAGCTTTGTTTTGTGTTGTTGTATGGAAATCCGTGTTCCTAAGTTATAAACTTACCCGGCTATCACTGGATTTGCTTTTAGTTTTGTTTTTGCATTTTATGTTTCCTGATGAGCAGTGTCAGCTGTGTGTTGTTTTCTGCTTTCTCTGTTGCTTCTGTCTCCTCAGAGCCCCTCCTTCTGATTGTTCACTTAGTGTCTGTCCTTGTGGTGTCTGTCCAGCTGTCCTTGATATCTGCCTATTTTTTTAAATATATTTTTATTGATTTCAGAGAGGAAGGGAGAGGGAGAGAGAGATAGATAGAAACATCAATGATGAGAGAGAATCATTGATTGTCTGCCTCTTGCATGTCCTTACTGGGGATTGAGCCCTCAAACCGGACATATACCCTGACCAGGAATCAAACCATGACCTCCTGGTTCATAGGTCGATGCTCAACCACTGAGCCACGCTGGCTGGACTGTCTGCTTGTTTAGAGAGGGCTAGTTGGTTCTCCTGCCCTTGTAGGGAAGTCTCAGTCAGTTCTGGGAGCTGGGTGGTAGGGACAGGGCCTCACTATTGGGCGTTGAGACTTGTCCTGTATCTTTGTGTTTCATGTTTGCTCTCTCACCTTCTGATGTGCCTCTGTCCTTACACCCAGAACCAGTCCCGGGGCCCATGTCTTTGAGGAATAAATTGATGTATTTGATCAACCATCTTTATCCAGATACTGACATGTTTTCCTCTTAATGGGCAACTCAAACGTGCACAGGATTCCCTGGGGAGCTTGTTAAAATGGAGATTCTGACTAGGCAGGTCTGGAGGGGCTGGGATTCAGCGTTTCTAACCAGCTCTGGTGATGCTGCTTCTGCTGCCCGCGGACTCTGAGTAGCCAGGGCATCAAGGGCTCCGGCCATCTGTGCACAGAGACCTCCTTCGCCCCGCCTATCCCCAGTGCAGCAGGGAGCATCTTTGTATGTACAATTTTGTTGCTTAATTAACATCATGGATTCTGAAGTCAGTTTGACTGCACAAGTTAAGCTGTTGAGCTTTGTTTCTCATTGACAGAATGGTCATAATAATAGCAACCGCTGTGTAGCTACTGGTGAAGATTAAATGAGTTAATAATAGCTAAGGCTTATGCAGTGCATAACAGGCGTAAGGTCTTTTAAGAAATGTGTGTTATCCCTAGCCGGTTTTGCTCAGTGGATAGAGTGTGGGCCTGCGGACTGAAGGGTCCCAGAGTTCAATTCCAGTCAAGGGCACATGCCCGGGTTGCGGGCTTAATCCCCAGTAGGAGGTATGCAGGAGGCAGCCAATCAATGGTTCTCTCTCATCATTGATGTTTCTATCTCTTTCTCCCTTCCATTCCTCTCTGAAATCAATAAAAATATATTTTAAAAAAAGAAATGTGTGCAAGCCCATGTAATTGCTACAACAGACCCATCGAAGACATAAATACTACCCAGCAGAGATAAATAACTTTGAGTTGGGTTGCGCTGGGTTGGCAGGAGGCCTAGCTCAAATGCTTGAGCCAACCCACCACCAATCTCTTGTAAAGGTGCCAGAACAGGGTCTGACACATGGCATGCCTCCTGTAAATGTTAACCTCTGTCACGAGATGCTAGTTGTAATCTCAGGTTCAAAAAAGGTGGGCATTTTAAACCTAAATGATAGCTGCCAACAAATTTCCTGATATAAAAATTCTTGTTTGCCTAACCTCCTCAACACTAAATGTGATCACTCACTGGGTGTTAACATGGGGTTTACCAGCCTGGTAGGCAAGAAGTAATAAATTCTTATTTTGAATTGGATTACTCCGAGGTTTTTGCTCTCGAGTTGTGTGCTTTTTCTTATTGATTTGCAGGCATTCTTCATCGATTCTAGATACAAGATGAATGTGTTGGGTTTGTGTCAATAGTCTTTGAACTTTGTTTAAAGCATCTGTGCTGGTTGGGTTCTCCAGGAGGCAGGGGCTGAGGTCGGGTTGGGAGTGTACAAAGGGTTATTGGGGAAGCCCACCTGGGAAGGTGAATACGAGGCAGAGTGATTGATCAGGGAGCCCTCAGTTCCCATGCAGGCCTGACAGTCTTGCTGCTAGCAGGGAGCTCTAGAGCCCAGGTAGCTGTTATAGGAGCCGCTTCGGGCAGAAACGGGCAGGCCCCATGCCATGGTATTGCTCTGTCTCTGCCCCAAGCAGGACCCAAGAAGTTATTGTTGGGGTTTGAGAATAAACCGCACTCCCCACAGCTGGGCTTTTTGGCATGGTTACCAGGGCAGATCCCCTCTCCTCACAGGGGCTTTTCTATTCTGGCTCTGTTTTTTTAAATGTTGCTTTAAAACACCTATCCCTCTCCTGACTTAAAAACAAAACATTGTCCTAGATTTTATTTATTCGTCTCACAATTTTAAACATTTTGTTTTCCTTTATGTGTGATGTTAGGTTCTACTTTTATGTTTTTCTCAAAGGGCTAGTTGTCCCCAAATGCTGCACTGAGAGCAATGCTGCCTTTAGCACCCCGTTTTCCTGGGCTCAGCGTGCTCAGGGCTCCTCCTTGGGCGAGGTTTGCGGAGGACACCTAGAGCTGAGCAACTTTGGTCCCTGACCATCTGGGCTTATGGATCCAAAAATGAAAGACGTAGTTCTAATCTCAAAAAGACCTCTTTGGTTGAAGGGCACACGGGAGTCCTCACTTAGTGACTTTTGCTGCCATCTGCTTTCTTCTCTGATAACCAGCATCAGCCAGCCCATACCTGGCCAGCCCCATGCCTGTGAACAGGCTCCCAGCTGCAAGACATGCACGGGGCTGGCATCAACACCAGGCTGAGGGCCAGGCAGGGGCAGCTTTTGTGCCCAGAGTGGGAGCACTGGTGCTCCTGGGGCAGAGGGCTCCTCCCCTTCTTGGTGGGAACTGATTGAAATTATCAGTAGGGTCCCAGCCGGGCAGAGAAGCAGATAAGGCCTGACAGTCCTGAAGGATCTGAGACTAGAGTAACTAGAGGCACCTTCCGGGCATGGGAAGGAGAAAGAGCAAACTCATTGGCACTGGGTACTGAAAGGCCATATGTTGTGGTCCCAGGTGTCCGTGTTTGGCAGAAGAGCCCTGGAAGGCACTGACATCATCCGGGGCATTTCCAGTGAGTAACTGGAGGGGACACGTGAAGTATAGGGATTCGAGCTGAGTGGGAACTTTGGCTGGGCCCAGCAGCCATTGATAATGACATCGAGGGTGAGGACAGAAGTCCAGGGGTGCCAGGAAGGAGAGGGTCCTCATGGCTGATGGAGAAAAACCACAGGCAAATATGCGGACAGTAGAATAGCACTAACATACTCAAGTAAACTCCAATGACATCTATTAAGAAACAAATGAACATACGAACATAGCACACCTGTGAGAGAAGGTGGTCAGACAGAATTCAGAGAAATGTGTTAATTAGGAAACAAATGCTAAAAATAAAGGAACTCAGCTTTCAAATCAAGTAATCAGGACCCCAAAATACACCTATACAGTGGTTCTCAACCTTCTGGCCCTTTAAATACAGTTCCTCATGTTGTGACCCAACCATAAAATTATTTTCGTTGCTACTTCATAACTGTAATGTTGCTACTGCTATGAATTGTAATGTAAATATCTGATATGCAAGATGGTCTTAGGCAACCCCTGTGAAAGGGTCGTTCGACCGCCAAAGGGGTCGCGACCCACAGGTTGAGAACCGCTGACCTAAAGGAAGTAGAAAGAGATAAGACAAGGAGCATAAAGAGGAAATCAGGAAGAATGACAATTGAGTTGAGCGATGCAAGAGACCCCCGAGGAAGCACCCTGCACAGGAAGTACTCTGAGAAGCACAGGAGAAGGGCATCATGTCTCACTCGGGAGGCCAGGCTTCAAGCACGATGGGGCACATGAGTGGGCCCTGGAGGTGGGCTCAGGGTCCCTGGGGGAAAGCACAGAGGCAGGAGTGGACAGCACAGTACTGTGAGGCTCCTGCATCTTAGGCTGTCAAGAGGGCACAGGCTTTGGCCCCAGGGGCTACCACAACACATCCTCAAACAGGGCTTCCAGAACATCCCCAACTCCCATGCATTTCTGCCTGCTCTGTGAGGGTCAGGACCCAGAGGTGATCTGGAAACTCTTTTGTCTCTTGCCAGGGGTGAGGTGATGAATGGTGGGTTTGGCCTCGTGCTAGATGGGACCCAGGAGGCTGAGCAGAGGGCCAAGATGATGCTTGGTTGGGACGTCTCCAATGGAGTAAGTCACCCCTGGTCTCTCCCCTGCCTTCTCTCTCCATCGGTGCTTTCGCCCCTTCCAACTGCAGAGCTGAGTCTGAGTTCTGTCCCTTTTATCCCAGAAATGGCCATCCCTGGTCCTTCGTGTCTCTCCTCATCAGCTACTGCATCTCTTCTGGGCTGTTTCCAGAGGCTTCTTTGTATCTCCTGGCCTCTGGCCTTACCCTCCAGTCCAGCCTCTGTCCACACAGGGGGCCCCTGGCATCTGACCCTGCCTGCCCAGTGAGAGCACCCTCTCCCCCCTGCTGGTAGGAGAGGCCTCCTTTTAAAGCCTTATCTTTCCACCATCTCTGAGGCGGGTCAGAGAGTACAGGACCTTCACTAGAACAGCCTCTGGCTCTGCGGCTACCCATCAGCTTTGCTGTGATCCAGGATGGGTGTGTGGTGGGTGTGTGGTGGGGGCTCCTTCCTCTCTTGGACCATATCACAGGTAGACGGGAAGGGGGAACAAATGGGGAGTCAGGTGGTGAGGAAGGGTATGTGCAGTCATGAGTGAAATAGGGAGCACAGGAGCCCAGAGAGTTTGACATTGGGTGGCCCGGAGCACAATGTGAGAGTGGGGGTGAAGGGGTGCTTGGAGGCCCAACTCCCTGGGAGCCCCCAGCAGAGGAGAGTCTTCATCCTGAAGGCAGTGAAACAGTGAAAGGATGAGTGGGGGAGATGTGGGAGGACCAGTGGGCGGGGCTTGGCAAGAATGGCTGCAGGGAGGCGAGGAGGAGGTCGGGGGGAGGTGCCATGACAGTAATCCAGGGAGCCCTGATGATGGAGATGGGAGAAGGAAGTGGATGGAGAGAGATTTTAAGGCTGATCCAAGGTGGGTGTCCATCTATGAGGCCAGAGAGGAGGGGTGCTGAGGATGACTCCTGGGTGCCTGGCCTGTGCCCTTACATGGAGTGGCAGGGGTGGGGGTGGTGGTGGTGGGGAGGCTGGGCAGAAGGCTAGCTGGTTTCAGATCAGAGAGGCAGGTAAGCAGTAATCAGGCCAAGAGAGGAGGAGGTCTGAGCCTGGGGGGGCGGGGACTGGGACAGACTGACCCCACAGATAGTACAGAGAGTCCACCAGCGGGTTTGAGCCCAGCCCCAGGGTATCCAGAATGCCTTGTTGGGAGCCCGGTCATGTTGGCACCAGCTATAGCACAGCCCTCCGCACCCTTTGACAGGTGGCCCGCCGCTGTTGGTCCGGGAACCAGAAGGCCTATGAGATCATCTGCGAGACGATGCGGGAGAACAAGGGCTTGGTGGTGACACTGCCACACCAGGTGGCAGACGAGCACATGCTCCAGCAGGCCTTGCGGCCATGAGCACCGAGAGCCGGCCACGGTGCCCTCATGTTCCCCCCTTGTCCCCTGTCCTCATCCTCACAGCCACACCACATCTCTCGCTGCACACCTTCCTCTCCTGGGTCAGCAGGTCCACACCCATGCCCTCATGGGGCCTCACAGCACCCTAGAGAGTGGGCTGTTGCTGTCCCCATTCCACAGATGAGCCAGCTGAGGCCCACAGAGGTGGGGCCATTTCTCCAAGACCAGGTCGCTCCCCTGAGAACCTGGGAGGGCAGTGAAAGTCTTGTTTGGGGCTATAGGAGCTTTGGAGGTAGGCGTGTCGTGAATACTGGCTGAGCTGGGCATCAACTAAGTCCCTTCTCAGCCTCCTGTCATTCCTTTTCCTAAGAAGGGGCGGGCTTTCCTATGGGCAGGTTTTTAATCAATCACCGTCCCTTGCCCACCTTCCAGCCATCCATGCAGCTCTCTTTCCATCTGCTAGCCCAGTGGTCGGCAAACTCATTAGTCAACAGAGCCAAATATCAACAGTACAACGATTGAAATTTCTTTTGAGAGCCAAATTTTTTAAACTTAAACTATATAGGTAGGTACATTGTTATTAACTTAATTAGGGTAGTCCTAAGGCTTAGGAAGAGCCACACTCAAGGGGCCAAAGAGCCGCATGTGGCTCGCGAGCCGCAGTTTGCCGACCACCGTGCCTGTTCATTTGTGCAGGTACTTTCTGTACCTCCACGCCCCAGCTTTGGGCACAAAGAAACAGTCACCAGGCCCCGGGCTTGAAGGGGTCCAGGGAGGAAGGTAGGAAAAGAAAGGATTGCCTGGAGAGCTGTGCACCATGGTGTGGGCGGGGCGGATGCAGGGTGGTGGGATGGGGGCCGGCTGAGCTCTGCCCTAAAGATTAGTGATACTTCCTTGGGGAAAAAAGGAGAGAGCAGGGGTACTACCCATGGCGGATCACTTATGGCAGAAGTCTGCTCAGGAGGCCTGCTTGGGACCAGGTGCCCTGTAGGAGCAGTGTGGGATCTGAGGCTGGCTTCACCCGCCCCTGCCAGGCCCCAGAGCCCAGCCTCAATGATGACCCAGGCAGAGGGGATCATGTGACCATACTTCTTCAGGCCTTCATTTTGAAGCAGGTGCTTTTTATTTTTTTCTTTAAAGGGGTGGTGCTTCTGCTTTATTCTTTCCCCAATTACAAAAAGAAGCAAAGTGGAGAGATGAGCTCCCTGCTCCTCCTCTTTCATCCTTCCTGCCCCACAGACTGGTAATTGGGACTTGTTCCCTTTCCTATAAACATCCAGGGCAGCGGTTCTCAACCTGTGGGTTACGACCCCTTTGGTGGTTGAATGACCCTTTCACAGGGGTCGCCTAAGACCATCCTGCATATCAGATATTTACATTATGATTCATAACAGTAGCCACATTACAGTTATGAAGTAGCAATGAAAATAATTTTATGGTTGGGTCACAACATGAGGAACTGTATTTAAAGGGCCAGAAGGTTGAGAACCACTGATCCAGGGCCATGCAGGGAATCAGGGGGACACTGCCCCAGAGCAGGCCCCCTTGGTGGCACGGCGCTTGCTGGCTCTCTGCACTAGGAGACCCCTGTGACCTTGCTATGCTAAGCAGAGCAGCTTTGACCACTTACCTTATTCTCATTAGTTTCTGGCCTTAGCTTAGCCCCCTGTAGGGCCCATTACAGACTTAAAAATGGCTCATCCTAAACCAAGAATTAAGAAAGAGACTGGGGGATGGGTTTCCAAAGAGCCACAGAAAACTTTTCACCCCTCCCCTTCCATGTTTGCAGAGAGGGAGCCAGTCTGGCTGGATTCTGAGTTTTCAGTTTTACAGAATCCCAATATTGTCTGGGCAGCAATATACCCAGTAAAAATAGTTGATTTTCCAGTCTTTCTTGCAACTGGGAGTGAGTGACCTCTGGCCTCGTCCTGGCCCATGAAATGAGGTAGAAGGATGCCGGGTAGGACTTCTGGGAAAGCTGGGTTTTTCTAATAGAAATGTAGAGATGCGGCTGGATTGCTTTTTGCCTTTGCCCCTTCCTCCTGCTAGAACCTCAGGTGTGATGCTGACACACAGCAACCATTCTGTGACCATGAGGTTCACAGAGGCATAGGCAGGGTGCATGTGGGAAGGCACGGGAACCTGTGCTCTTGGCAGCACCTGGGGCTGCTATTCCAGCATGGGCCTGCCCCTCTCCAGACTCCTTGGTCCTCGGCTGTTAAAGTCATCCCAGCAGGGCTTTGGTTCCACACAGCAAGCACAGCATCTAAACCAGCACAGCGTCTGTCAACAAGTCTCCTTGTCAAGCCCCCTGTCATACAGCTGCCTGAGCATTCCCTGTCCCTAGGGAAACATGGAGAAGATATGTTCGATTTTGAGATCAGGCCCTTCTTTTCCCATCCAGCACCTTCTCTTATTAAGGACAGGCAGGGCTCGATGGCCAGCTTTGGGCCAAGTTCAAAGATGGCTTCTACCCACATGCAAAGGCCTCAGAACCCCTCTTGGCTCCATCCCAAGCCATGCCAGGGAGCAGGCTACTTCGCTGGGCACAAGCCCATCAGCCTGCGGCCAGCTGCCAGCAGGGAGAAGGGACTACTGACGTCCAGAATTCGGCCACCCTGGGACTCAGTGGGGGTTTAGGGCAACTGACCACAGCCTCAGTAACCATGGAGTGGGTAGAACAGCATGGATGTCCCATGTGTCCAGTTCAGTCTTATTTTTAAGAACGTAGTGACAAGAAAAAAACTCTGAGTCCTAAATTAAATTATAGTTGGTATAGAGACAAGGGTAATTAACCAGTTAATAGCTGTGGGACGACTAACAAAAGGCTGCTTGTATCGCTGAATGTTGCTGGAGCGTTGAATCAACTTCCAGGTGGCTGTTTAAAAAGAAACAGCTGACCATCAGATGCCACTGCATCCTGCTTATGCAGGAACTTTCTAGACTGTTGCCCACAATCAAAAGTAGTAAATCTTTTTTCCTTATGAACTGTGCACCTCTCCTAGAACTGTCCCTGCTCCACCTTTTTCTGCCCACCCTCTTGTCTATAGCCAATGTAAACTTCTTTCAAAACAACTTCTGTAAAAGAGCCCGGGTAGCTACAGGATAGTAGATATGTTCGTCTTCCCCATCTAGCCCTGCTGCTGGCGGTTTAAACTGCATACCCAGGACGTGGTAGTCCTTTTTCTGGCTAGCATATGGCTCAATAAACCCTTTCTTTCACAAAAGCTTTCAGCAGTGAAGGTTTTTCTTTAATAGCAGAAATGTGTAGTCCACTTAGAAATGTTTCTATCATGCCTTGGCCGGTTGCTCAGTGGTTGGAGCGTTGGCCTGGGAACCAAAGGGTTGCGGGTTTGATTCCTAGTCAAGGGTAGGAACCTGGGTTGCAGGTTTGATCCAGGTGTGTGCCCTAGGCAACCAATAGATGTTTCTCTCTCACATAGATGGTTTTCTCTCTCCCCCTCCCTCCCTGCCTTCCACTCTCTCTAAAGGACTCCATTTTGTCAACAAAAATAGCCTCAGGTGTGGATTAACAAAAGCAAAAAAACCCCAACAAAAACAAAATAGAAACAAGTTGGCTATAATGGGTGTAGGCTTTAGTTGCCTTGAAAATTCTCTCCCTGGGCAGTCTCTGCTTCCTGTGAACCTGGAGCTCCTGGGAACCAGATGCTTTACTTGCTGGCCCGCCCTGGCCAGTTGAGGAGGTGTTGGCTGAGCGGTGTGCTCTCTTGCCCTTGGCCTTCCAGAATGGATGCTTATGCTGGGGGCTGGGGACTGGACTTGCAGTTGCATTTTGTTTGGCCTGCCCTTTAAAATATATATATATATTTACATTATCACCAATTTTTACAAATTAGGAGATTTCACTTAAAACTTTAGATTTTGCATTTACTTGAACAAATGGATAGATCAGGCGACACTGTACCCTCACTGCCTCAGTGACAGCAATCAGCTGGGGGCCTCATGGGGCTGGCCTGTTTTTTCCAATTTGCTACAGTCCCTACTATTTCCTACTGCACTCTAATAGCCAGGCCAAGTGTGCTTGCTGTTCTTGGGCATGAGCAGGTGATTTCATACACACCTGCATGGTTTCTATTGGGACTTGAATCTATGTATTAGATTCTCCAGAGAAACAGAACCAATAGGGGGTATATCTATCTATCCTATCTAATAAAAGAGAAACATGGTAATTAGCATACGACCGCTACCCTTCCCATTGGCTAATCAGGGCGATATGCAAATTAACTGCCAGCCAAGATGGCGGCCGGCAGCCAGGCAGCTGGAAATTAACATGAGGCTTGCTTGCTGCAGTGACAGAGGAAACCAACGATCCCCGCCTGCCTTGCTGTCCTCTGAGCCTGCAGTTTGTA